GACAGACAGACAGACAGAGAGAGAGACAGACAGACAGACAGACAGACAGAGAGAGAGACAGAAAGAGAGGGGGGGGGGGGGTGGGAGGGAGAGAGAGAGAACAGCCCACTTTTTCAGCTGTCAAAGTGAGACAAACACCTGAGCAGGCTTCCTCCACCTCAATACCCCATAGTTGAGGTTCTTCAGCTCCAAAGATGTACCCAGGCAGGTATTGATCAGCTGACTCATCAAGATTAGCAAATGGAATGTCTGATCAGGTTTATTGTCCAAGCCAACAAAACACTTAACTGGGTCAGATAAAAAAACACGAAGGGGCTGCATATACATGATGTATTGATTGTGGTTAAACCAGGTTGAATTTTCACATTTAAGTGTAGTCTGTGAACGTGTTCCATTATTTAATCCACCATCTTGTTCAAACCCACAATTTAGGCTAATCCAGCAGTCGGTTTTATGCACGTTGTGTGAATCTGGCCAAAGTCTAAAAACCTAAGATTTTCTTTTTAAAGAAAAATACAAGAGAAAATGTTGAGTTTGCTAACTGTGCTTTCTGGTTGAGAATGTCATCTGAACACGGCCCGTGAAACTTGCAGGATGTGTGAGAAAAGTGGTTGGATGGATTGGGAAGACATGCCGGGGAGCCATCTTGCTCTCCTTCCGTCATTCAACCACCTTCCCTCCTTAAAGCAAAAGCAGTAACTTTTTCAGTATGTGGCAGACTTATTTCTATCCTCCTATTTTTTCTAATGGTTGTCATGATTCTCCTTTCTTCCATCTTGAACTTTGCAGATTTTAGCAAGAACCATTTTGCTCTTAGCAAGAGTTCACTCTTGTCTTTCACTCTTGACTTCATAGATTCTAGAAGCATCTTTGACTAAAGGCTGGAGACGATCTTCTTTGCACATGTAGATGGTGGGAAGTGGATCAGATGTTCTTTGTGGTTTTTTATATAAAAAATTCTGCCAGAGGTTTCCCAATGAATGGCGTTAAATGAGGTTTTGGCACAGTATTAAAAAAAAACATAACTTTTAAAGGCTAACTTAGAGCTGGGGTGGGTGGTAACCATTAAATTCTGGGTTTGATACAAATTACTATTTATGTTGACAAGCCATTATGGATATACTTCTACATGTTATTATCACATTGAACCCACTCCCCCCCAGATTTTTCCCTCCATGTTGTAGTTCCAATTTTTTGCTACTCTTGGTTATACTGTACAAGGAAACAAGGATGGTTGACAAACCACTATACAGAGCTTAGAGCAGCCTTTTCAACCAAATGTCCTCTCAATATGTTGGACTACAGTGAACATTATCCTCAGCACCTCCAAAAGACACCCAATTAGAAAAGCCTTCAAGGGTAAAGGTTACACCCACGCATGCATGCTGATACAACGTCCTCTAGGGGGCGGTGCTCTTCTCAGTTTCTAAGCTGAAGAGGCTGCTCTGTCCAAAGACCTCTCCGTGATCATGTGGCTGCCATGACNCTTGTAACTTGACAGCTTTAAGACTTGCATGCTTCAATGCTAGAGTTTCTGAATAGCTACTTGGACCGACCTAAGTACTAATTCATAATTTCATAACCGGTCACATAGGCGGCAAGCCACTCCCATTCGGTCACATGGGTGGCAAGCCACTCCCACAAAGGAGGCCACACCCACAGAGTAGGTTCCATCAATTTTTGAAACCCACCACTGGTCTGGTGGCTGTTGATGGGCCTTGGTGTGGGGAAAGGTTTCATATTCTCAGACTCAACTTCTTCTGTCTGGTTTCAGTGACATTTTTTCCCCTTCGTTCCGGGTCTTTCTTACCTACAGGTGGTCCTCGACTTTCAACAGTTCATTTACTGTCCCTTCAAAGTTACAGTGGCACTAAAACAAACGTGACTTATGACCGTTTTTCACACGTACAACTATTGTAGCATCCCATGGTCAGATGATCAAAATTCAGACGCTTGGCAACTGGCTCATATTTATGACCATTGGCAGTGTCCAGGATCACTCGATCATCTTTTGAAACCTTCTGACACACAAAGTCAACAGGGAAGCCAGATTAATTTAACAACCGGGTTGCTGAGTTACCGGCCGCACTGATTCATTTAACAACTGTGGCAAGAAATGTCATAAAATGGGGAAATTCACCTAACTCGCTTAGCAACAGAAATTTTGGGCTCAAATGCGATTGTAAGTTGAGGACTACCTGTGCCTTCCTGAAGGAGACGGACAAGATTCTTGGATTCTGTCCCCCCCCTGCATATGTGCCTGCTTCTTCTTTAGCTATAGCTGCTTCAGCCTAAACTCATAGCAACAATTTTCCAGCAACAACTAAATTACTCCCTCTCGCTGTTATCCTCTCTGCATCCACCAAATTATTGCCTAGTTCTAGTACTTTAAAACAGAGGTGCCTACAGGGATATTGAAGGTAGGCAAATCTATCTGAAACAACACTGGGAATGAGTTTTAATAGAAAAGCATGGTACAAGGCTTAAAAGTAATCTACTGAAATAATAAAATCAGCAATCAAGCAATTAACGAAATAAATAGATTTAGATTTAAAAAGGGAAAATTTTCTCCAGGATATATATAAACATGTATAAGATTGTGGTACAATCCCAGCTTAAAAAGAGGATTGAATAACCAGACTAGGAAACTTGGGGTCCTTCCAGTGGAGGAAGTAAGGGAGACCAGAGTCCCTTTAAGATGTTTGAAGGCTTTATCTGAAGAGTTCTCAAGAGAATGCAGTTAGTCTGTTGAGATTCTTGTAAATAGGTAAGCAACAATTAAAAAAAACCCACCCTATTTTAAATCATTTCAGTCTCATTCTAGTTCTTTGCGCCTGACAAAGATTGAAATGTTTGTGACCAGCTTCCACAGAAAGGAAAAAAAATATAATCCATCACCAAAATATCCAAAGTAATTGTAACCATTTTTAAAATACAAAATGCACAATACGCGTCTCGAGATATTCAGGTGAAATACATATTTATATTTTAGGCAAAAATTACTAGTATTTGCTTAAGTTCAATGGCAATCCCCTCCTTAAGAATACAACCCGCTTGTTAATAATGCAACCCCCTTGTTAAGAATAGTATCATCCCTACGTCAACAAGTTCTACTGGTTGTTCTTGAGACTAGGCTGGAAACAAGCTTCCGTTCCCCTATTATTTCTGCATTTCTTGGTGCTAGTGGATCTCGCTATTCTAGTCGTTCTATAGCCATTGCTGAGTGAACCACAAAATAATCACATAGCTACATTGAACCACAGCTTCCCTTATTCTCAGACCATTTGATGTGCTTTTATAGATAGGATAACACTAAAAATTGCACACTGGAGGGCTGAGATTAAGAAAGACCACTGGCAGCACTCAGAAGCTTCCCTAATTTCTAACCTTTTTCAATGCCATTTCTACAAGAAGATTCTTTAAACTAAGCACTGATACTTCTTTACTCATAGTATTAGCTATTACTTTTGATTATACTCGCATGCTGAGACAATTATGTTGTCTCATATATAATCCACCTTGGATTTTGTTTGAACTTATATTCATAAGCAAGTCAGAAGGTAATATAATTCTCTTGAGGTCTGAGTTCTGAGAAAGATCATGCCAAGTTATGTAAATAAGGCACAGATCCAGTGAAATCTGTGGTGTGCATTAAGACCTTAAGTAATACATTGTAAGAATAGCTGCTTGTTCCCACTACTTCTTGTCCAAATCAGCAATTCTGTGAAGCCAGAATTATTTGTTTAATGGTACAAAATATGTCTGAATGCTATTACTTGTGGTCTACTTGACTCCAGGAGAAACTGATAAATCTCCGAAAGGTTTCACAAAGGCCTTCACTTGTCAATCAGGAAGAGTTTTTTCCTCAGGGTGTGCTTTAATAAGAGTGAGTACTGTTCTGTAGAATTAATCCTATTCCATTCATAAATTCTGCTGTTCAGCTCTACAAAAATATCCAGCAGAGGCAACTTCCTGCAAAGAAAAAAGGGAAAAGGGGGAGAGAGAGAAAAATACCTTCAACATGAGATTACATTCATTTTATAAAAAAGTAAAAAGCTGCAGGTGAACAGCTCCAGATTTTGCAAGCGTGTTCAGTTCTACCCTTCAGATGAAGGTTATTCAGCTACTCTTAAGAAAGTTTTTCTTAAGTTTTTGGGGCACCAGAGTCTGGTTCCCTGTAAAGAAACAGAGGGGTTTTCTTTCTGGGTACCAGAGGGGGCATGGTTTCATATGATGCCTGCATCCTGCGAATGGGACGTCACTTGTTCGTGCAGCTCATTTTCTGGCATGCCGTGACCCGATGCTGGTCCACAGACCAAGGGTTGGGGACCCCTGTCTTAAGGCACACTTGGATTGTGTAGTATTTGGGATGTTTCAGCATGCATGGATGCAAACATATCACCTCCTTGCAAACGATTTTACTTCCACATAAATATGTTTAGGAGAACTTAAGACTTTGTGTTTTGGGCCATTCCTTGTATTACCTGCAGGATTTAACAGGGTAACATTTATTGGTTAAGAAATTATTCAAGATGCTTTCTCTGCTCCCAGCCACGGGACAAGAAAGTTGTGTTTGTATCAGTGTTTCCATCACTTGTCTGGAATAGAGGCCTTATGTGTACGGCAAGCACTGGATCCAAGCCTAACCATCAGAAGCCCTCCAGTTCTCTTTTATAAACAAAATGTATATGGAGGGCACTGCTCACTTAAATGGGAATGTCAGGCCTGCAATTATATTCCTTTTAGAATTTTGGCCTGCCACACTTTCTCTTATTTCATTATGCTGTTTCTTTAGTAT